CCTTCAAAAATTATTGCTGGTAATAATCTTTTTTATTACAAAGTATTTCTGGTACTAAAAACTATTTTTACACAAGTTTGGGTGTTAATTATTTGCTGGGACCTTAACAGGTGCTACCACCCCAGGTCAGGGTGAACCTGGGAACACCAGCAATTAAGAGGTGGTTCCACACTCCTCAAAACCTTCTGATCAGAGGCCTTGCTGCCAGATGTAGTTTATCATCTTACCCAGGATGAATAGGAACAAGGGATCAAGACCAAAGGAAACTGGAGATCTGGCAGCTTTAAATGATTGACAAAGTTATAGACATATTAAATAACGTATAAGACAGTGGTTATATAATGGAAGATGTAATTTGATCCATTTTCATAATGTTGCCCAAGAAAACAGTTGCAAATGATTGAATTCCATCAAACAATCAACCTAATGAGCCATTTGACAAAGCTTATTTGAATTCTGGTGGATAGTGTGCTTAACAAAATTAGACAGAAAAAGATCAAAATCATTGTCGTTTTGTTAAAGATACTGGAACAAAGAATGTGATATTTATGCTCAGAATATCAGAAAAAGGAATGCAAATGCATGTATGTCTGTGTTTTAAAGATTATAGACTAGCCTTTGATAAAGTCTGCCACAAAGAACTATTTGAAGTGCTAGGTAAGCTTGACTTATTTAGGAAAGATATTAGAATAATTTAGAACAGTGCGACTCAAAGTGGTGGTCCATGAACTGGTGCCAGTACATGAACCATCAGCTACCAGTACATGACCATGCTAAGGAATTATTTGCAAAGATTAAGATTATATAATTTTTGTTTTTGTGTTAATAAACTGCTTATTTTTTTATTATTTTTTATATGTTTTGATATTGAATTATTTTTGCAAAATAAAAGGAAGATAAAAAATTGTTAACTTTTATTATATTCAATATAAATAACATTTCCAGTATAAATTAATATTACCACAAAATATTACAGGTACATGACACATTGAGAAAAAAAATGGCTGTCTGCCATATCAGATAGTTTGAGAAGCACTAATGTAAGGGATAATGACTTGGAAAATGTTAATTGGAGATCTGAGTTCCAACTCTAGTTGGGTTCATTATATTCCCAAGTTGTCACCCATCTAAGTATTGATCAGACTTGATGTTGCTTAACCTCAGTGATCGGATGAAAACCAGTGTTTCAATTTTCATATAAAAAAAAATCAACATATTTGATGGAGACAAGAAATTACACAATATTAGAGCTCATCTGTAAATCAACAATCCCTTTCCTTACTAGGCTTATGTACGATCGCTGAAGTTAAACAACATTGAGCCTGGTCAGTGTTCAGATAGGTGACTGCATAGGAATATCAGGTGTTCTAAGCTTAGATGTCTGGGTGGTGTAAGGCAGTGCTTCTCAAAGTGGTAGTCTGTGGATCGGTGCTGGTACACGAACCCTCGGCTACCGGTATGCAGCCAGTGTCCAGGCCATACGAAGGAATCATTTGTAAAGATTGAAATCAGAAGAAGCATGGAATAGCAAAAATGCAACACCGAGAGCAGAAGGAACATGGAGTAGCAAAAAAGTAACACCGAGATCAGAAGGAGAATGGAATAACGAAAATGCAACACCGAGAGCAGAAGGAACATGGAGTAGCAAAAAAGTAACACCGAGATCAGAAGGAGAATGGAATAACGAAAATGCAACACCGAGAGCAGAAGGAACATGGAGTAGCAAAAAAGTAACACCGAGATCAGAAGGAGAATGGAATAACGAAAATGCAACACCGAGAGCAGAAGGAACATGGAGTAGCAAAAAAGTAACACCGAGATCAGAAGGAGAATGGAATAACGAAAATGCAACACCAAGTGCAGAAGGAACATGGAGTAGCAAAAAAAAGTAACACCGAGATCAGAAGGAGAATGGAATAACGAAAATGCAACACCGAGAGCAGAAGGAACATGGAGTAGCAAAAAAGTAACACCGAGATCAGAAGGAGAATGGAATAACGAAAATGCAACACCGAGAGCAGAAGGAACATGGAGTAGCAAAAAAGTAACACCGAGATCAGAAGGAGAATGGAATAACGAAAATGCAACACCGAGCAGAAGGAACATGGAGTAGCAAAAAAAGTAACACCGAGATCAGAAGGAGAATGGAATAACGAAAATGCAACACTGAGAGCAGAAGGAACATGGAGTAGCAAAAAAGTAACACCGAGATCAGAAGGAGAATGGAATAATGAAAATGCAACACCGAGAGCAGAAGGAACATGGAGTAGCAAAAAAGTAACACCGAGATTAGAAGAAGAATGGAATAGCAAAAATGCAATTCTGAAATTCAGATGGACACGGAATAGCAAAAATGCATTCCAAAAGCAAAGTATTAAGAAACAGGATTTAGAAGAAAAAAGAAACAAAAAACAAATTTTTTTAAGAGCTACAAAGACAGGAAATTATGGAGAGACACAATTGCCAACATCTTGAAAGGACACATCAATCAATGTACCTCCAAAGATTCATTAAAAATTGTGCATACATTATAAAAAGATGCACCAAAACTTAATAAATACAAAGTTTTATTGTTAAAAGTTTTGTGATATTATTCAGTGAAAAATTGAAATGATTTTTGATGTAAAAATTATTTTTTTAAATCTTTTTTAGAACTTTTTGAAATTTTGGTTAAAAATCTTGTTTTTCTGGCATCAACATGATACCATAGATTAGTTCAGGAAATTTGTGGGTCTTTATTTTTTGTAATCATTTAACCCTAAGCAAAAAAAAAGCCACAAAGATGCAAGGGGTTACTGGTTTTAGAGAATATGAGTAAAACTACTATTAAGGAGAGAGAAAAATAAAAGAACAAGAATTAAGAAGACAGATAACAATTGACATTGCATTTAAATTTTTGAAGATCAAAGGCAATAAAGCCACTAGGGTGCAAGAGGTTACTGAGTGTTAGAGAATATGAGAAAAGCTACTATTAAAGAAAGAAGACAATAAAAGAACAAGAATTAAAAAGACAGAAGATAACGATTTATATTGCATTTAAATTTTTGAAGATCAAAGGCAATAAAGCCACTAAGGCGCAAGAGGTTACTGAGTCTTAGAGAATATGAGAAAAACTACTATTAAGGAAAGAAGACAATAAAAGAACAAGAATTAAGAAGATAGAATATAATGATTGACATTGCATTTAAATATTTGAAGATCAAAGGCAATAAAGCCACTAGGGTGCAAGAGGTTACGGAGTATTAGAGAATATGAGAAAAATTACTATTAAGGAAAAAAAATTACATTTAAATATTTGAAGATCAATGTTGACTGGGAAGCAAGAAGCCAGTTGAGACTTGTACAAGCAGTGAAAAACACATTGATTTGGAAATTTGTGCAAAATCATATAATTGTTGGATTTTAATCAAACTTATAGGACCTATTCACAAATGAATTAAATTATTTTGGAATTGTTTTATTTTTTCTTAGGAAATCTTGGTAAAAATAATTTTTTGACATCTGTTACCCCCACTTATTTAATTTAAATTATATTTTCAGCTATAATGTTACAACAATGTATGAAGGTTAACATAGAATCCCTGAAATGAAGAAGCATTGTTGTATATCACGTGCTTTTGCCCACTACGTAAATTTGCAGCCTCTATCCATTCAGACAGATACGTATATTCCGAAACTCAATGGAGGAAATCTTTATGACAACAAATGATGTTTGAAAAATCAATATATTTTTCAACTCAAACAAATTGATCAAACCTTTTATGCATCAAAAAATAAAGAGAAAGAAAAGAGAAAGAAAAGGATGAAGAAAAAGAAAAAGAATGGCAGGAAGGAGAAATCAAGTTAATCATCTTAGTGAAACTCGATGTTTTATTTTAGCGGCTTAGTATTGGATTGTCGTGTTACACTGGCTACATTGGGGTAAGGAATTTGCTTCTGCTAAATGGGAACAGAAAGAATGAATGGAGGAAAGAAAGAAGAGAACAGATATTAATGAAGGAAGTCGAAAGAAAGAAGGAAAAAATGGGGCCATAAAAAGAAAGAAGGAAAGTTAAAAAAAAATTTAACAAAAAAAAAAAAAGAATGGGATCATAAAAAGAAAGAAAGAATAGACTTATAAAAAGATAGAAAGAAAGAAATAACATGATTATGAAAAGAATGAAAGAAAGAAAGAATTGGATTATAAAAAGAAAAAAGAAAGAATGAGATTATAAAAGGAAAGAAAAATGAATTGGATTTATAGAAAGAAAAAAGAAAAGAAAAAAAGAAAGAATGAAAGAAGGAAAGGAAAGAAAAAAAAAATGAATGAAAATTTAGGATCATAAAGAAAGAAATAAAGAATAGATTTATAAAAAGAAAAGAAAGAAAAAGAAAGAAAGAAAGAAAGAAAGAAAAAAGAAAAGAAAAGAATTGGATTATAAAAAGAAAAAAGAAAGAAATTATAAAAGGGAAAAATGAATGCATTTATAAAAGAAAGAAAGAAAGAAAGAAAGAAAGAAGAAAGAAATTTATAAAAAGAAAGAAAGAAAAATCAGGATCATAAAGAAAGAAATAAAGAATAGATTTATAAAAAGAAGGAAAGAAAGAAAGAAAGAAAGAAAGAAAGAAAGAAAGAAAGAAAGAAAGAAAGAATTGGATTATAAAAAGAAAAAAGAAAGAATGAGATTATAAAAGGAAAGAAAAAATGAATGCATTTATAGAAAGAAAGAAAGAAAGAAAGAAAGAAAGAAAGAAAGAAAGAAGGAAAGAAAGGGATTATAAAAAGAAAGAAAGAAAAATCAGGATCATAAAGAAAGAAATAAAGAATAGATTTATAAAAAGAAGGAAAGAAAGAAAGAAAGAAAGAAAGAAAGAAAGAAAGAAAGAAAGAAAGAAAGAACAAGATCATGAAAAAAAATAAAGAACAGACTCATAAAAAGATAGAAAGACAGAACAGTATTTTGAAAAGAAAGAAAGAAAGAAAGAAATGGATTATAAAAAGAAAGAAAGAATGAACAGATTTAAAGAAAGAAAGAAAGAAAGAAAGAAAGAAAGAAAGAAAGAAAGAAAGAAAGAAAGAAAGAAAGAAATAGAATTTGGGAAAAGAAAGAACAAAAGAGGCAACATAAGAAAGAAAGAAAGAAAGAAAGAAATAAAGAAAGAAAGAAAGAAGTAAAGAAAGAAATAAAGAAAGAAATAAAGAAAGAAAGAAACAAACAAAGAAAGAAATAAAGAACAGACTTATAAAAAGATAGAAAGAAAGATCAGGGTTATGAAAAGAAAGAAAGAAACAAACAAACAAACAAATGGATTATAAAAAGAAAAAAGAACAAAGGGGATCATACAAAGAAAGAAAGAATGAATGGATTTAAAGAAAGAAAGAAAGAAAGAAAGAAAGAAAGAAAGAAAGAAAGAAAGAAAGAAAGAAAGAAAGAACAAAAGTACAGGATCACAGACAGAAAGCAGAAAGAACAGGCTCATAAACAAAGAAATAAAGAACAGATTTATAAAATGAAAAAAGAAAGAAAGAAAGAACGGGATTATGAAAAGAAAGAAAGAAAGAACAGGATCATAGAAAGAAAGAAGGAATAAATTTATAAAAAGAAAGAAAAGAAGAAAGAAAGAAATGGATTATAAAAAGAAAGAAAGAAACAAAGAATGGAATCATAGACAGGAAGAAAGAGATTGTAAAAATAAAGAAAGAAAGAAAGAAAGAAAGAAAGTAAGAAAGAAAGAAAGAAAGAAAGAAAGAAAGAAAGAAAGAAAGAAATTAAGTAAGAAACAAACAAAAAAGAAAGAAAAGATACTAAAAATAAATAGCCTCTTAAAAAAAGAATAAAAAAAACGAAAGCAAAGAATTAAAATACTCAAAGATAGATAGATAGATAGATAGATAGATAGATAGATAGATAGATAGATAGATAAAGTACTTAACAGAAAGAACTACAGGGTGAAAGAATGAAGGAAAGAAAGAGAAGGCTGAAAGTAAAGCAAGAGAAAGAAAAAAGGAAAGATCCAATGAAAGAATGAAAGGAAAAAAGAAAGGAAAAGTACTCTTCAAAATTAAACTTGGAAAAGAAAAAAATGAATGAAGAAAAGAAAGAAAGAATGATTATGCAATAGAAATGTTTTCAAAAAGAAAGAGGGAAGAGAAGAAAGAAAAAGCTGAAGCTAAAACCAAGAGAAAGAAAAAAAGGAAAGATCGGCAAAAAGAATGAAAAGAAAAGTACCCATCAAAATTACATTTGTGAAAGAAATGGTACCAAACAAATACTCCTGAAAGAAAGAAAGTAAAATAAGAATGAAAAGGTATTAAACATAATTAGTTCTGAAAGAAAAAAGATAGAAAGAAAAGGCTATCAAACATAGGTACCCACTGAAAGAAAGAATAAAAGAAAGAAAGTAAAGAATAAAAATAAGTAAAGAAAGTAAGAAAAGCAAAATGAATGATGGATGTTGAAAGAAAAATATCTAAAAGAAATTAATTGTAAGGGAAACAGTATCGTCTGTCTTTAAGCAGGAAAGAAAGAAGGAAGAGATCAAAGTAAGAGAGGAATCGAAAGTGAAAGGTGGGGGTGGAGAAAAGAAAATAAGTGGTGGAAAAACTGAGAAAAAAGGAAGAGATTTAAAAAAAAAAAAAAAAAAAGAAGAAAAAAATGAAAGTAATGATAAAAAAAGAAAGAAAAGGGAGAAAGAAATGAAGAAGAAAGAATTCAAGATGGATGAAAGGAAAAAGAAAAGGTTGTACCAAAAAAGGGAAATAAAGATTGGATTGACAAAGGAAGAAAAGAAATATCCCTCCCCAACCAACCAAAAAAAAAAAGGACATAAAAGAAGGAATAGAAAATCAAAATAAGTTCTGAAAGATGGAAATTAAAAATAAAGAAAAAATTTATCAAAACAGAAGCTTTAAAAAAAAAAAAATCAAAGAAAGAAATTAACACAAATAAGAAAACAACAAAAACTGTGTGAAAAAAAAGACCTTGATCAGTGTAATTATCATATAAATTGAATCAAAAAGAAAAATTACTTATAAAAAAAATAAATTTAAATGACAAAATATGCAGTTACCAATTTTTTGTTTTTACTTTATTTTCATAGCTCTCTTTTCACTTTTACAAATGAAACATTAAAAAAAAACTTCTTTTTCCTTCTATAAAAAAAAGGAGATGAACATTTAAGCTTGTATTGTTAGCATTTTGACTATTACCCATGTGGTGAGGATTGATCATTTCTTTGATGGTCGAGTAGTTCAAGAAGGAACTAAAAGAGAAAGAAAAGCCTTTAAAACATTTGCAAGCTAAAAAGAGAAAGAAGGAAAAAGAAGGAGAAATCAAGAGAGAAGCAATTAATAAGTCAGAGAGAGAGAAAGTAAGTGTGGTGGAAGGCAGCAATAGTTGCCCCCCCCCTTTTGAACTACTCAGCTATAAAAGAAATGGTCAAACCTCACTATGGGCAGTAGTCAAATTGCGTTAAATAAAGCTTTGCTACAAGTAAAGTTGCTTCCTTATGCCTTTTCTATAAATACTTTCATGGTAATTGTTTGGATGGCACTTTACTATGGTACCCAGACTTTTTTTTAATTTAAGCGCAGTCTAGATTGGTGACAAGGTCTCACCAATTTACGGTTGAATTGATGCCTCTTTCTCAATTCTAATGTAACAACGTTAGATATTATGCAGCAGTTTTTTGTTTCTTTTTTTTGTTTCTAATGAAATTTTCCTGCTTCTTAATACTTTGCTTAATTTCTGGAAGGCACCTTTATCAATTCTAATGAAAAAAAAATTAGGTATTATGCAACAGTTCAGTTTTCTTTTCTTTAATTCTAATGAAATTTTCATGTTTCTTAATACTTTGCTTACTTTCTAAAAGGCACCTTTCCCTATTCTTATGAAAAAATTAGATATTACGCAGCAGTTCAGTACTCTTTTCTTTGTTGCTAATGAAATTTTCATGTTTCTTAATACTTTGCTTACTTTCTAAAAGGCACCTTTCCCTATTCTTATGAAAAAATTAAATATTACGCAGCAGTTCAGTACTCTTTTCTTTGTTGCTAATGAAATTTTCCTGTTTCTTAATACTTTGCTTAGTTTCTGGAAGGCAACTTTCTCTATTCTAATGTAAATAATTAGATATTACGCAGCAGTTCAGTACTCTTTTCTTTGTTGCTAATGAAATTTTCATGTTTCTTATTACTTTGTTTAGTTTCTAAATTGCATCTTTCTCTATTCTAATATAAAAAATTAGGTATTATGCAGCATTTCAGCACTCTTTTCTTTCTTTCTAGTAAAATTTTCCTGTTTCTTAATACTTTTAGAAGGCAACTTTTGCTGTTCCAATGCACGTTTGGATTACTATCACATTTTATATAATCTGTTAAAATACTTCTGAGATATTTAAATTATTCTACTTGTTAGATTTTGACATCTCTAATTCTTAGCTCATGCTCTTGGCTTTTCATTTTACTGACAACCATTCGTTCTGTCTTCTGATGATTAGTCCTTTCTTCCTACTATCCTTTGCAATCTTAGATATCTCGTCGGTCAATTCAAGATCAAAGTAGCTCCCTCCTCAAAATATACCATCATCCACTCATGGGGTAAAAATAGAATTGCTCTCTCGAAGTTTCATTATAAGGTGCAGGAAAAAGACTTTTCTGGTGAGATTTATTCTAACGTTAGCACTGGGTCCATTGATAGTTTGGGGTGGGGTTTACGATCACGTCATCTCGCTCTCGGTTGACCTGGTCATCGTTGATCACATGACAACAGGCATCTCAGCAGCAAAGTGCGTTTAGACTTTGTTGCATTGCGTTAATTCTTCCAAGAATAATTGTAAACAATAATGGCGCCAACTTGTCGTAACTGATCTGTATAGCAACCAATAGAAACGTTCCTTTCCAATTCATTTCATATATAATAGAATCTGATACGGCACCAAGTTTTCCTAGTTTTCTAGGTTTGCCTGTTATTTTAGGAGACCAAACCTAATGTGCTTTTGTAATTTAATATAAGTGTGTCTAATATGTCTTCATGTATTTTATACCGTCAAATACAATACCTTGCTTCACCCCTACCCCAACATTGCAGTAGGGTTATGGCTAACAAGCATGCACTGCTGATCTTTACAACCAAGTAGGGAGTGCAATCCTTACTGAGTACTCTATACTATATACTGGTAGCTTCATCACCCCCTCTCTTCTTCACTCTCTCTTGTTCACTCTCTCTTACTTGCCTTTACTTCTCTTTCTTTCTCACTCTCTTCCTTTTTCACTCTCTCTCTTTCTCTTCCTCACTTTCTCTCTCTTCCTCTCTCTCCCTTTCACCCCCCCTCCCTCTTCCTCTCTCTCTCTGAGGTTTACGGTCACATCACATTGAAACACCACTTCCCATATAATCACCAAAGTTAAGCAACATTGAGCCTGGTCACTATCTAGAGGGTTGACTGCTTGAGAATATCAGGGGCTGTAATCTTGGATGTGCAGGTGGTGCAATGGATAATGGCTCAGAAATGTTAATCTGGGAGCCAAGTTCCAATTCCCATTGGGAGTGTTATATACAGTTATGAACAAATACTTTTGGGGAAGTTATGAATCCACGGCTTCTCCCCACAGATGGGTGTTAATTAATAAGATTTGTATCATCATCATCATCATCTTCTTGACTTTCGTAATCATAGGGCGGATCCAAATACAGAAGCCACACTAACTCTTTTCCACAACGGTCTATCAACAGCAGCCATCAGCAATTCTTGTACAGTCATACCTGTCCAATGTTTGGCATTGTCCAACAGTGCCTTGCATGATGTTCTTGCACAGGCAGATGTGCCTTGTAATGTGTCCAAACTATGACATTTTCCTCTGTTTGACAATGGCAAGAATAGGTTCCTAGTGTCCCACAGAACTTTCAACCCTTTTCCACACAAACTTATTGGTTTTTTGTTCCCAATAGAAAATAGACTTGTATCACTAGACCATTATTACCCCCCCACACCCCGCCAAAAAAATTCTTACAATCTAAAAATATTTTCTGCCTTTATATAACCTACAAAGGGTCAATAAGCTATAGACATTGAATGAATCAAACATCCTCCCTCTTTTTCACTCCCTTCCTCATCCTCACTTCTCTCTCTTTCTCTCTCTATATCTTCCTCTCTTACTCTTTCTATCTTTCTCCCTCTCTCTTCTTCACTCTCTCTCTTCCTATTTCTCTCTCTCTTTCTCTTTCTCACTCACTCTCTTCCTCACTTGTTTAGGACTGCTAAGTACCTTGATACCCTCACAGAAGAGTAATGGTTAACAAGCCTTGCATATCAATCCTAAAACATAATGAATTTGATCTTCACTAGTGACCTCATATTTATATAGCCTTGTGGCAAAACTTTTTTCCTTCTTCTATGTTTATATCAGACGTGGGTAATCATAGCTCTCCACAACTTCCTATCTTGCTTGTCCTCTTACTATCACCTCCATTTCAAGCTCTCACAAGAGGTATTAAAAAATGGCTGGGATTCCTTATGCTGAACAGACCTTGTAAATAGATTGAGTAAGCAGAATCTTAATTTGCCTACCTTACAACACAAAATCCTTATTTACTTTATATATTAGAATATATCTTCCATGTGCTGTGTTCCATTCGGATGTGAATGATCATGGGTCTCCACTACTTCCTTTTTGTATTCATTTACATAAGCTTGTTAAATACACTATTTACATTATTCGGACTATTGTCCTCATCTTTGTCGCCATGTTTATCACAATGTTTCGGCTATTGTATGCTCCAGCCTTCTTCAGATGGTTGTTAGGTAGTTTGATCACTGTTTCCTTATGTACTTCTTGCCTTCAGGATGTCCTGTGAGTGTCAAATTTTCCAAGCCTTCTTTCCTCATTATGGGCACTTGCAATTTCAACTCTATCTTTCTAATTCTATGTATAAGTGTAATTTTTGTCTCCATTTTACATTAAACTTCCTGATTACTCACATGTTCTGACTATGGTATTCTCAGCATCCTTCTTTTTCTTATTTTTTTACAGTAAGTTTCTCCCTGTACAGAGCCCAGGGGCATCTCAAGATTGAGGGTTACGTTAAGAAGTAGTCACTCACAAGGGCTTGTAGATGCTTTTGGATTCTATTGAAACTGGAAAGTGAGGACTGGGCAGCTCCTGCCCAAATATAACAACAGTATTCTATTTTCGACCTGATCTGGCCCTTGTAAAGGTAGAAGGTAGCATAAGGAGTCAGGTACTTACTAGAGTGGTACAGGGAGCATGAGGAGTCAAGAATGGTACTGGGTGGTACAGGGAGCAGAAGGAGGCAGGTACTTACTAGAATAGTACAGGGAGCATGAGGAGTCAGGTACTTACTAGAATGGTACAGGGAGCATGAGAAGTCAGGTACTTACTAGAATGGTACAGGGGAGCAGAAGGAGTCAGGTACTTACTGAAGTGGTACAGGGGAACAGGAGAGTCAGGTAATTACTAGAATGGTACAGGAGCATGAGGAGTCAGGTACTTACTAGAATGGTACAGGGAGCATGAGGGGGAGTCAGTACCTTACTGGAGTAGTACAGGGCGGAAGGGTCAGGTACTTACTAGAATGGAAGGGGAGCATGAGGTCAGGTATAGAATAGGAGATGGTACAGGGAGCATGAGGAGTCAGGTACTTACTGGAGTGGTACAGGGAGCAGGAGGATGGTCAGGTACTTACTAGAATGGTACAGGAGCATGAGGGGTCAGGTACTTAATAGAATGGTACAGGTAGCATGAGAGTCAGTACTTACTAGAATGGTACAGGAGGTACTTACTAGAATGGTACAGGGAGCATGAGGAGTCAGGTACTTACTAGAATGGTACAGGGAGCAGAAGGAGTCAGGTACTTACTGAAGTGGTACAGGGAACAGGAGGAGTCAGGTAATTACTAGAATGGTACAGGGAGCATGAGGAGTCAGGTACTTACTGGAGTGGTACAGGGAGCAGAAGGAGTCAGGTACTTACTGAAGTGGTACAGGGAACAGGAGGAGTCAGGTAATTACTAGAATGGTACAGGGAGCATGAGGAGTCAGGTACTTAATAGAATGGTACAGGTAGCATGAGCAGTCAGGTACTTACTGGAGTGGTACAGGGAGCAGAAGGAGTCAGGTACTTACTAGAATGGTACAGGGAACATGAGGAGTCAGGTACTTACTGGAGTGGTACAGGGAGCAGAAGGAGTCAGGTACTTACTAGAATGGTACAGCGAGCATGAGGAGTCAGGTACTTACTGGAGTGGTACAGGGAGCAGAAGGAGTCAGGTACTTACTAGAATGGTACAGCGAGCATGAGGAGTCAGGTACTTACTGGAGTGGTACAGGGAGTAGGAGGAGCATCTTGAACAATGAATATACAATCATATCTCTGTTGCCTCAAGTCACCATTACTAACTTTTTTTGAGGAGTTCCTGCGGTTCTCTAGCAGAATAGAGAGATTATCCTCATCGTTTACTATTGGTCCTATGACTGGGTGTGATCATCAGGTTTCTGCATTGCTGAACACCTGGGCAATTAGCTCCCCATATCTGTGTTGATAGACTAAGAGGTACATCCATATGCAAATTAATTGAAACAAAACAAATAATTCTGTTATTACTTACATTTTTTCAGATTTTTCCAATGAAACATGACCCAGTGCACATGTTAGTACTTCATATGTCAATTCCACAAAGTCGTTCCTAGCACACTGACCACAGATTCTCAATTGAATTAAATTTCTAGGCCAGTCTATAATACTTTGATTTGCCCACTGGTAAAGCTTGCCAGTCTATTTCTGCAGCATTACAATTTTTGTACAATTCCTTGGAGTAATGTCTATTGCAGATAATGGCCACAGGACAACTAATCAACAGTCAAGAAAATAGTGTTTGGATATGATGAATATCTGATGCAATCACAGATGATGCAATATTTTTCAAGGCCAAACAAATTTCATCATACACCCGGGAAATAGATTCATATTACTGCACACCACTGCAAATGACCTAATCTGAGGAAAAAATAGAAATCAATTACACCCTGTCACTCAAGTGAGTCTAAAACTAACCGTATGGTGAAAGATTGGAAACTAAAGCACTTGTTTCAATTAATCTGCACAAGGGTGTATTAATTCCTTTATAGCGTGTCTTAAGCAAGTAAACTTAGCAAAGGTCATCTCTCTACAGGTAAAAACCACAGCTGATGCCCAACAACTTGAAGTTTCCCCTTGGTCATGGCGATGTAGCCATAATGTAGCTTCCCTTTTCTATCGATGGAAGTAATTGTTCTTTTGTGTTTTCCTGTTTGGTAAATAATTAAAGGATTGGTTTGGGAATTTGGTGATATAGTGATTGTGAGTTCAATCCCTGGGCTGGGCAGTGTGTACTTGAACACAGTGAAAATGAGTGAGCAATAACTGAACAGTACTAAAAAATAAGAACTAGACAAGATATCCCTAGACATGGGCATTGGACTGAGAACGGTCTACCCCAGTAGATTAAATAAAGGGTTCAATTCAGAAATCCCTGTAGATTATCCAGATTGATATACACCTGATGAAGGCCAATGTGTACAACGGCCAAAATATTCAGATAATAACAACAAAATGAAAGGCAATAGTCCAAAAATAAATGCAAAATCAAAATGGTATGACTCAATATATGTCTTGAGATCTTCTGACCACTTGAGGAATCAAAGTCATGTCCAGTTGCTGCATTTTGACAGATTTGAGGTGATCCTACACCGTACATATCGCACGACTTTCAGTATGTCAGTGTAATCGGGAAATTTTGGACAGCAACCAGTATCAATATTTTTAATTGGTTCGGTTATTTTGAGTCATAAATAAATATTTGCTGTGTCTGATAACCGAATCTCTTAAAACCAAAAACCAAAATCATTGTATATCCAAAAGATATATGACTTTGGGGGGGATGATTAATTATTTTCCACCCAAAAATACCTTTCCCACAGGTCTGTCACTATTTCCAGGGCAAATACCAGTTTTAATTCTGACATAAAACAACTTTGTCAGAAGTTGGAAAAATTTAATAAAAAAAGGCTACTCAACTAAATATAACATATATGTGTGTGTGAGTATATATATATAAATATATATGTCATTTGCAGATTACTGTTTCACTGTATCACAGCTCCTCAGTGCGGCTAGACAACCGAATACCTCAAGCCCGGATCAAAACTCAACCAATTTGGTGTAAGTCAGAGGCTCTACCACTGAGCCATCTTCACTCGACAGAACAAATCAATCAAATCTAGCATATTGTTTTTACAAACATAAACAAACGCCAAGCAGCCAAAGTGCTCCATTCATTTTACTGAAGAGCTTCGCATTTACACAGGTGACCGTTGTTTTTAGAATTAGCTTGTCATTCAACAGTGCCCAATTGAAAATATATTTTCAAGAACTAAATTATGCCATTCGCAGACAGTACTGTTTCGCTGTATCAGAGCTCCTCAATGTAACCGAATGCCTCATTAAATATATAAGATATCAACCTAAAGAGCTTGGAACTATCTACTTAGGTTTCACCTAAATGGATCTTCAGGGTAAACCAGGCTACCCTGAAGATCCGTTCAGGTAAAACCTAGGTAGGTAGTTCCTGGCCCTTTAGGATTTATCTTATTTACCTTTGGTCTACTTAGCATATTGAACACTCTACGTTTTATCTTAGTTACACACTTGGGGGTGTTTTTCTTTGGACTGGTAATTTAAAGCCCTGGAAGATTATTTTCACTCTGCTTGGATGTTTCTAGATTTTTTTTTTTTTCCTCAGATACCAGTTTTGATTAACTTGCAAATTGTACCATCCATCAACCAAGTATAAGTATTACTATATATATATATATATATATATATATATATATATATATATATATATATATATATGTCGGAGTTAACTCCTCCTTCACTCCATTAACCCTTTCACCAGGAGTCTCTCTTCCCCTGGCTATAAATAGCAGCTGACCCTTGGCCTCTATCTCTTTTTCCTTCAGGCTTGTGCACTGACACCTTGAGGTAAACTCTCTTTTTCCTTCGGGATTTCAGCTATCAACCTCGAAATGTAGGCGCTAACAAGGGATAGCGTGGAAACACGCTAAGCACAATATTCACACACGTACGCACATACAGAATACACACACACGCATGCACATACAGAATATTCACACACGCACGCACATACAGAAAATTCACACACACTTCGTCCTTTGTACTGTTTCCATGTATTGTAACTTGTTATTAATATATATTTGTATATACATATATTATCGGTCTTGTGTTTTGTTTGCTTTCTTTGCCTCCTTCTTTGGACTTAATCAAAGTCCAACCTTTTTATGTAGTTGGGCCCGGCGGGCAGGAGAATCTGAACCTTACTTGCGGTTCTTCTACGTCTGACTTCTATCAACAACATAACAGCCACGGCCCCTCTACATATATATGTGAAAATATATAGAAAATAGGAAAGAGCTAGTTAGATAAATAATCCAAAGTTCCTTAGTATTTTAGTTATTATTTTTTTAAAAATAGTGCTCGATACAAAAGTAGAGCATAAATATAATTATTTATTTAAAAATATGATTCCAACTCGCAGTGCCGCAAGTTGGAATCATATTTTTAAATACATAATTATATATATATATATATATATATATATATATATATATATCAGGGAGAGCTTATAGTTGTTCTAACAAGAGAAAAGTGAATATTTGGTTATAATATGTATTTTTAAAAATATATATATATTTTATTTTACATATTTTTGGTACACTTTGAGACCAGAAACATGTGTAGCAAAAATATGGAAAATAAAGCATAATATATATTTAAGAACTAATGCTTTTAATTTAATTATATAATTAATTTAATTACATAATTAAATTAAATTTAAAGATTTTAGCTTCCATTTTTGAAACATGGTTATTACTGTGTAGCGAAAAACCATATTTTAAATCAGTTAATTTATAATATATATATATATATATATATATATATATATATATATATATATGTTTGTGTAAAATTAGAAACTGATTTCAACTCCAAGCAGCGACAATCTATTTTATGTTTGAAAGCTCCAAAACAAGAAATTGTGGAGAGCCATTACTTTAGGATAATTACATAATTTTCAGCAAGCCTTTTCTTCGTAGATTTTACAGTGTAACTTTTACCTTCTTTCCAGAGATTAACAATCAGTTCTTTTGGCGAAGTTATCAATTCTTTACATCTTCCCATGACAAAAACATTCTTGCACAAATATCAATTACAGAATGTTCAGTTTGTGTTTTTTAGGCTAAAAATAATTACTGATAACATTATTGGAACATTCTACAATATATCATTTGAATAATCTAAAATATTAAAGCAATTTAAAAGTTTTAAAATCTGAAATTTACATTGTATGAATACTTTTTTCCCCTCCATTGAAATGGATAAATGAGATTTATTTCTATTAAATCATTTTTTTTCTGTTTTCTATGCATATTTAGTCATTATGCATCTATGTACAGTTATTTATATGAAAAGTATGTTTATTCATTAGTTGGAAAACAATAAATTAAAAAATTTGTATGTGTATGATTATTT